ATCTGTTGTCCACGGAAGCATTTCGATGAATCGTCGTCCAGCAAAAAAACCAAATTTTGAATTGTTCTTTGTCGGTCGTTTAATATAGACCGGCGAAAACAGAGATAATTGAAAAACAAAGACATAAGTAAAAGTATAGCATCTGGATAATGTCGAATTGCTCATTGGAACTAATCGAAGAAGTGAAAGAGAAAGAGAGTGTGTGTGTGGAAGAGAGAAAGAAAAGAGCGATAGATACTTTTAACATTAAGCCGTAAACTAGCATTAATATTACAATCGGTTGTGATTGATTTGATGATTGTTTGCACCGTGACACATAGACACTTAAATTGTTATTTCTCGAAGGTTGCACGAATATGCGGATGAACCAGCATCCAGAACACCCGCAGAAATTCTTAAACAAATTCGCTTGTACAAGGTGGTAATTTTTGAAATTTTTATTTACTATTTTATCTTGACAGAATATAGAGTAAAAGAACCGAGAGTTGAATGTAATGATTGTCTTCAATTTCATAATTTTAATCGAAAAACACAAGTAACAAGAATCATCGAAAATTGCAATCTATGCAATTCTGTAACTATAGCATTGTCTAAGAATTTATTTCCTTAAAGCTTTAAATTGGAGATTTCTGGATTTGTGAATTTTTATGGCTTCTACGCACTAAACGCGGCAAGAATTGGATCAGTTCAACTTTTTCCGTGCGAACTCAGAAGATATTCTTTCCAGAAAAGTGAGCAATTGGTTAACCGCATTGCATCTTGCCGCGCAAGTATGCAGGAACCGTTGGATTTCTAGATCTTTGAATTTTCGATTTTTCTTAAATTTTTTCATTTTCCAAGTTCACTTGTTTCTTTTTTGTTTTATAATTATAAGTATTATATAATGATTTTTAGTTTATCATATTCTTAAATTTTTCAAAATTTTAATGAAGCTTAATACTAGTAGAATACTTGTACTAACTAAAGTTAATATTAGTAGAATACTTGTAAAAGTATATATAGCGAAAGTGAACTATTGCGTTTATACCACCTGTTACAATTTCTCGTGAAATCACGCCAAAGAAAATGGTCGTGCGAAAATTGTATTGGATCGCTTGTTTCCGCCATTTCGATCGGCTTTTGATCATATCATGAACAATTTGGTATGAGTTGACATTTATGTTAGAGTACAACATGTCTATGCAGCACCAGCGCAATCGCGCGGACAACATCCGGAGGACAGAAAATTTTCATTTTTTAAATATCTATTTTTTAACTTTCCAGTAGCTTTGTAATTCGTAAAAAAATTCTTTTATATATCTATTTGAAATGATTCTTTTTTCCAACGATTTCGATGAATATCTTTTGAGAACGTTATTTTATTGATAAAGTCAGAGGTTATCAAGAAAGAGAGAGAAAGAGAAAGGGAGAAGGAGAAAACGAAATTATAAAGAGTTTAAAAAAATAAAAAGTAATCTTAGTAAGTTTCTTAATCATTTATCTCAAATGCTATATATACACATTTTTTCTCTCTCCAAAACGTTGCAGTTCAACGTTGTTATATTATCCAAAAGGATAATTGGCCTCCCGATGGCGACGGTGCGTGGCGCATGGCGCGGTTTAGATAATTAAAAGAATTAGAGAAAGAAATAGGCGGCCGAACGTCTCGCGACGTCGCGATGCGGCCGGTCGCCAAACGTTACTTACTTACTATTACACACGATTCCGAGGAACTTTTAATCATGTTTAACCTTTATCTCTGGATATTTGCAGAAATTTGTGGTTTGCTGAGTCTTGTCACGACTTTTTGAATGTGTGGAGCCCGATATGCATACATAGTTCACCGCTATGTATGCATATATAAATATTATATATA